AATATAATTACGTCTGTTTTTTAATTTTAGTGGGAGAAAATGTGTATTTCGCAAACTCAAAATATATATTTGGCAGTCAACGCTAGTCGCTATATTGGTTGTCTGTCCATCTTTACTGGTTCTGCTTCATTTCATGTCTAGTCACTGCATTTAATGTGATTTTAACACTTTTTATCTATGTAGTTTGCAAGGAAAAGCACTTTCAGATTTTTCAGCTACAAACTTTTTGTTTAAAGATAAATTTATTTATTTTATAATAAATAATGCAACTTAAACTTAATTGTTTTACAACATTTATTTAAAAGTTAACTTACTCCACGAATGATTGACACTTTATTATACATAATTGTTAAACTCACTTATTACAGATTATATTGATATGCAATACATTTTATTAAAAAGTGAATATTAATTTTAATTTAATCTTACAAAATACAAAATACATTTTAATTTTGATTTTAATTCACAAAATTGTAAGATAAGATTTATATTTATTTATATAGTATAGATTTATCTTATTTATAGACTATGTATAATTTTGAAAATATTCTTCTCAACTTGAATATATACGTCTATTATGTGGGAGTAGTTAATAACGATTTATTTGATAGTGACACAATATTAGGTGGAATAATAAATTCAATAAACAATTTTTTTTTATATTTTAATTAATGATTGTGATATTATATTAAAAGGTAAATTTTAAGTTTATTCAACATACAAAAATAATTTATATAATAAATTCACTTATTAATTTTGAATTGGTGTTAAGGAAAAAAACACTAGCATGTAAAAAGCATAAAGAAAACATACATGTAAAAAACACAGAAAAAGTCTTAGCATCTAAAAACAAAGAAACATGGAGAAGAGATGGTCTATTTTTGTGTGTTGAGATATATTTCTCTCGAAACAGATGTTTAAAAAAATTGTAAATTTTTTTTACAATTATTTAAAAAAAATTGAATAAAAAAGATAAAGATAAAACAAATTTATATTATATAAGTAAGTAATTTATATTATATAAGTAAGTATAAAATTCACCTCATGATTTTATAAAACTAAATAGAGATAAAAATTCACTTCATAATAGTTTTGCATGAAAAATTCAAGGGTAAACTATTTAAAATTATGAGTTACTGATTTTATAAGAAGAATCTTAAAAATTACTGATTGACAAGGCAAATTTTTTTATTAATTTTATTTCTTACTTTACCACTACGAATTCAAACGAGGATGATTTTCATACTACCTCTTCGTTTTCAAATATGTTGGATGTTATCTTAACTTCCAACATCTATTAATTGTTGTTTTCTTATTGAAAACACAGCTTAAAATGGTGCAAGATAAGATAACATGGCGTTATTTTGTATGAGTAGATTTTGACGAACAATTCACACATTAAATTTAATTATTAACCTTTTTTTAACAAATTATAAAAGCATTTGAATTAAATTTTAGTTTTAAAAGGAAAAAAGTTGAGAAAAGTTTTATAGACATATATTGATAATGTTGATAGTAAAATAAAAGAAAATTGCAAAACCAAGACGAGTTCATTGAAATGATGAAGTCACGTGAGAAATATCTCCGTAAGCAGTATTAATTGTCGTGAAATTAAGCAGAACTATGCTCGTAAATTGAAGAGAAAGAGTAAAAAATATTTTGGTGTTGTTGCTTTCTTGAAGTTTGGCACCCCTAAAGGCTTACCGGAAAACGCAGCACGTGGCTGAGAACTTAATAAGGTGCCCAAAACTACCCAAGTGTAGCCTTAAGCATATATAGAAACTTCTTCTTCATGTAGTTTTCCAATAATTCAAAAATCATCTTTTAAGATACACTGCTTTCTGCAATTATATTATTTTATCCTAAAAGGTGAAAGATTTCCCTGTAGAATGTCGAATAATAATGGAAGACATTCAAAATTAGTTCAGGAATTTCAAATGAACCCATCACCAGCGGCCAGAACCACGCCGCGTGTGTTGCCGCGTGTTTCTAAATATTATTCTCATCTTTACTTTACATTCATCAAAAATCACTTTAGTTTAATTCATAATCTAAAATAATTAATAAAATAAAAGGAAAAAACAGTTCTCATCTGTGACTTACCATTTATTTTCTTTACTGCACGAACGAGCCATATCTATACATCCAATTATCATATTTCATCTAGGGCAACAAAAAATCAAACCAACCCTATTAAACCAACACATATGAACTATAAATATCCAACATAGGAATAAATATGCTTTTTGATGAATAAAATCAAATTTGTACTTCATTTATTTATATCTGCTATATATATATATATATATGATAGTTTTATACGTTACTTTTATTTTTTCATTCAATAATTTATTTGTAACACTGTATTTTTTTAAATAATTGTGTTTTACTTAGGGTTTATAACTTATTTTCTACGTATTCATTTTTATATCATAATATTGAATCACTATAAAAACAAAATTTTAAATATATTATAGGGAAATATTTACTCTAAAGATAAAATTGATAAGATATATTTAAATTTTCAGAAATAATTATTATAGCATATTAAAATCATATATAATACACAAATGGCGGCTATTTTTATATCTTTATTGTTATATAATTTAGGACTAATAGAAAATAAATGACTTAATATGTTTGAAGTCAATGCAAATATTATTCTTCCTTATTTGTCTGGAGAAAGAATACTGTAATACGTAGGAATGCGCTACATATTATATAACTTTTGATGAAAAAAATTCTAAAATTAGAAAAATCATTACGAAAAATAGAAAGTTGTATGATTGATTTTGGAAATTTAGTAACAAAAATATTTGTACCTTAACCATATAATAATCACACTGAAGTTAAAGTCTTACAATGCTATTATTTTTTTAAAAGTAGATTCGAAATCGTTGTTGATTATGTTGAGAGCTGACTAAAGCATATTAAACTGTAACACGTTAATTCTTAAAAGATCTCTTTTACTTTTTACATGCATTTTTCTTCCGAAATAGCTTTAGTTGAAGAAAAAACAGTCATTAATATGACCGTGTTTGAATAGGAATTCAGATTTGATTTCACTACTACCCAATCTGTTGGTAGGACTGCAATTTTCAAGCTAAAAAGATTGGAAAATGTAATTTCTTTTCTCTCTTTTGTTTTAAAGAAAAACATTTTGTTACTCAAGAAAATTCGCTTTATAGTTTCAGTCCATCAATGTTTATTATGGCCACACCAGCTGGTACCAATCGTAGTTGGCAATAATAAGCCAATTCCCATGTTTAAGCTGAGGGAAGAAACAGATTTTCTTTGAAAAAGTATTAGTTTTAAGCTTGCACACTCTTATATCTATTTAGGAAAAATAATTCCTATACCAGTTCAATACAAATTATTCTTTTTTTCTTTTTTCTTGAAAATATTATGAAGAAACTATAAAAGTTGCGACTTAGAGTGTTCAAGCTAGTCCCATGTCTTTTATGGTCATGACTTCATTAATATCTTTGTCGGATAATTGTTATGCATAATAAGCACAAACATGCATCAGAGCTGGAATTAAATTTTATCCTACATTGCCCGGTTTATATCCATCATATAATTAAAACTGACTATCATAAAGATGTCAAAAGTTATCTTCACATAATTCATGTAGTGCTAAATATAGGAAAAAAAACACCTTGTTTACATACTTTTTTTTTAATGTGATAACTCGAGTATAAATTCCAACTTTTGAAGTATTATTAATGACAGCGTACAGATAAAAATAAAACAATTGTGTCAATTATGAATACACAAGAAATCATGGTTTAATTATGTTGGTAGCTAGGGATAAAGTAGCTAAATCACAATACGTTAATTTTCCTGAATAATTATGAACTCCTGTCAAAAAAGCCTTTTTAGATGATACAACAACTTGAAGTGAAGGGCTAAGCAAATAAATCTGATTTTGAGTGGTTAAAAATTTGAAATTTTGTGAATTATTTTATTGTGTTGCGCAGAATCAAGGAAAATCAATCATGTCACCAAAGGTCTAACTTTCTCTCTTTTAAAGCGCAATTAATGTATATCTTTTCCCATTCAATCAAGAAGCTAACAAACAATATATTAGGTTTGGATCTTTAGTGTGATAATTTGAATAAAAGACCATTTCATCCAAATGACCTAACCAACCAAGAAGCGAGGGGAGACAGTCCATCATCAACACACCAAAAAGAACAACCTTTTTTACATAAAAAAATAGGTTGTTCTCCAAGCCAAGGGGATTAGGCAAATAGCCTGTCCCAATTGTCAAGACTACAAAACTTAATCTCTCCATAGCCATATCCAATTACTTTTCACATACTCATTTTAGCTGGCATCTATAATAGAGAAAGTCAATCTACATATTTGTCTTATACCCTATTTCATAGTTTTTGCTAAATCATCTCCAATTAACTATTCAACTGGATTAGACCATTTACATGTTAGGCTCGTGAGTCCTCTCAAGCTATAATACTCATTAACGCTTTATTTTCGTAACTTTAGCTGCTTAATAATTTTGCTGTTGTTCAAGCACATTTTCTAGGTTAGATCCTCACCAGTTCGATTCGATCTCAAGTTAAAAGTTATATGTTTGTTTCTCTGAACTTCTCTCCCTTCAGATGTGCATGGATGCGCTAAGAGAGAAAGAAAAACAAAGTGCAGGTAATGCCAAATCTGTGAATACAGAAATGTTTATCTTTTTGCTCATCGTGCTCATACAATCCCCATGTACATAAGTTATGTAGATTCCCTGCAGCTGCATACATGTAACTAATGGAAGACAAACATGTGTGTATATATACATATACACCAGCTCATTTAATATACCCAAACCCAATTAATTAATCCCCTGAAAAGTCAAGAAATATTTTTCAAAAAAGCTCTCACTTACAGGAGGAGGGGTGGAGAGATTGAAGTGCATGCTTCATAAATATACACTGGATGAAGATGATGACCGAGATATTTATATATATATATATAGATAGATATATATAGATATATAGATATATAATATTAACTTGAGTACAAATATGATAACATATCTTCTAGTAGTAGTTGACGCACAGAGGTCGTGGCTCTTAACATCCCCCGACTCAAGAAGCGAGAAGAACAATTTCAAGGGCATCATCTCAACAATCTAGAGGACGAAGCACGTCTTCGAAGAGACAAAAGCACCTTAAAATTGCAAAAAAGCAGCACAAAACATCCACCACTCGGTTTACTAAACCAATAATAAAGATCAACATACAAAGGACAAAACGAAATCAAAAACACCATAGAATATACGAACGATTCATGTTTGATACCTGTGGTGAAACATTGCTAGCAAAGCTTCTCTTTCAAGCTGGCTGGCTAAGTAGGAGCGGGAGTGAGCTTCGGCTTCGGTCTCTTCCTTTTCTTCTCGTAGCTCACACCTCTCGCCTTCGCCTGAAAATCACGAACGTCGCGCAGGTAAATCCTGACGGCGCGTGCACCGAAGGGGTTGGTCTCCGGGCGGCCGCCGTTTTCCTCGTAGGCGGCGCGGAGGCGGCCGATGAGGGCATCGAGGCTGCCCCACGCTTGGCGGAGAGGGCAGGGACACGGCGCAGGAGGGTTGGGAAGGCCGAAGAACGGGCAAGGGTGGTTGTGAACCTTGGTCTTCCCGAACTGGTCGAGGTAGTGGAGGAATTCGAGCACGTGCGCGCCGCTGCACAGGGCCAGCGAGAGTGGTGGACGGTGGTTCCTTAGGTACTGGCAGAAAGTGTTCCAGTCACGGCGCTTTTGGTTCTCGTAACGGCTGGGAGTGGAGCTGCCACTGTTGCTTCCGGAAGAAGGAGAGGAGACTGCGGAGGTTCCAGCGGTTGGATTGGTGGTGGGGGTCTCCATCTTGTACCTGGGGCTGGCAACGTTGGCCGATTCCGAAACCAAATCCATGGATCTGATCCGATGTATCCCCCAAGACTTTTTTCGTTTAAACCTTCGGATCTGCTTTAGATCTTGGGGGTACGATGGCAGTTGGGTGGCGAGGTGATTGTTGTAGCAAAGACTAGGGTTTTGGTTTTATAATAATATTGATAGTGACGATGTGTAGTAGTGATACTAACTGGAAAAGCGAAAAGGGTTTGCATATAATATACATATATCTATATCATGCAGAGAAAGAAAGAATGGGTGTTGATGGTGGAGGAGAGAAAAGTGGGGAGTGGGAGATGAAAGGTAGGTTCCATTGTTGGGGTTTGAAGGTTTTGGGGAAGGAAGTGAATGAGATTAGGAAGAGTGGAGTGAGTGTAGTTTGGTTGGGGTGGGAAGTTGGCAGTAATTGGTGGAAGTGGAATGATTCCTGGGTAAAGCTTGGAGATGGATCAGGTAATCAGGTATTTGTTTCCAGAAAAGCGCGAGGAACTGAGAGTTATGTGAGAGAAAGTGGTGGAGTGGGCGTGGGTTGGAGAGTGGTGAAGAACCGAGGGTTAAATGAAGGAGAGGAGGGTGTTGTGCCGAAACAGGACAAAGTTTGGCAGTAGGCAGTGATGATGGTGACCAAAGATGAGCAGACATTTCAAATTATGCACATTCCTCACTCTTCTTTTAAGCGCGTGCCTTACAACTTTTACCACCCTTCTTTCTTTTCTTCCTCAACTATCTCTTTTTCTTTCATCTATCTATATGCAAATTACTATACAATGCTAAATTAGTACATCTCTCTCTCTCTCTCTGTGTCGTGCTTTCAGCATCGAATTCAAATAGAATGAAGCCAATGTTTTTGTGTACCAGAAGAATGAACAACAACAAAAAATTATATATGAAGAACAATGAATACTCTCTTCTAAATAAAATACCATACATATTCAAAGAGTACTGACAAATTCGACCAGTACAATTATTAACAAATTCAAAGCCACATTGATTTAGAACTTGCTTATTTTTTTTCTTAATTTTTAATTTGTTTTTCAGTAGTTTATAAAACAATGACAATAATTATACTTTTATAGTCAATATTTCCGCACAATTTTTTATTTTTTAAGTGCAAGATCAACAGCTGAAATAATTTTCTCTCATCCGTGCGAGTATAAAGGTGTTAAATTTTTCATTTAACATGTCATAAAAGTTAGCAGTACAGAAAAAAATTAAGACAAGACTAAAAAGTATATATAGACATTTACTTTCCGCGTTTTTTTTATTTGCATCGAAAAGATTAGTTCTCTTTTAAATATTTCTAACATACGTGCATATAAAGCAAATAAAAGTGAAAAAAATAAGACATAATAGCAACATGAATAACGTTGAGATAACAAATCTCGTTCACAAGAAAAAAAAGTAGATTTACACGATGTTATGTTAGCTGTATTTTAACTCAAGCACAGTATAAAACAAATAGTTACTTCTATATAACTAAAATTTATAACAAGTATTTTTAATATATAAACCACATCTAATAATTAAGAAAGAGGGAATCTCATTATTCAGATTGTGATTTTTAATTAATCCACTGCTAAAACAATTTTACATCAGACAATATGCATGTAACTAATAAATAAAAAAATGAGAACTTATTTACATATATGATTTATACGAGCAATATTTATAGTTTTAAGAAAATATCTTCCTTAATTATTTACATATTTTGAGACCTTTCAACCTTCTATCAATCAATCAAGACAGTAGGGGCCGGGTGCCGTGGCAATACGGAGAGATTTCATAATCTTTTGTATAAATATTAAATAAATACGGATAGATATATACGGTTTTTGTTTGACACCCATTGTACTAATTTCAAAAAATTTTAAATAGTTAATAAATTACGAACAGAGCGGTTTAGTTACAGAAAATGATAGAAGCGCAGAAAAGTTATAGACGAGAAAGTGAGTTTCAGGTGAAAAGTGGAAAGAGTTATAAATGGTATTTTGAAAGGGAAAATGGAGGAATGTGTTGTTTGGGAAGCAAAGAGGAGGAGAGTTGATGTTAAAAATGGTATGAGTGTTGGCAAGTGTTTTGTTCCAGTTAGGGTAAGAAAGAGGTGTGGTGGTGGATTTGGTGCATTTGTAATCTCAAAAGCTAGAAATAGGGGCAGAGGAGCATGGGTGATTTTGGGATGTCCAACGATTGGGCCTATAAGCTAATGTGGTTGTGGTAGGAACCAATAAATAGATAGATCTACGTATTGTAGTTTGAGTAAACTAGGTTTGCGCCTGAAATGGAAAGAATAAAAGATTTAAATAGGCCTAATATAAGATGGTCCCCGCCTTCATTTCTGGGGAACAAAACGGCTCTCAAGTGTGGCATCCTCTGTTTCTTAATGTTCCTACATTTGCTTTGAGGGTGGCAAATTTTGCTAGTGCCTCATCGCCTCCAACCAAAAACACTCATCTCTCAGAATCATCAATGGCTTCTCAGCGCGTGCCTACCAGAACCACCACGTGCCCCCCTACAATCTCATCAGATTTAATTACTTTTCGAATCAATTTTAAAAGCTAAAATTCATTGCACAAGGTTTTCTTTTTAGATACACTAATCAGTAATTACACCGATGTGGGACCCACTCCTTTCTCAACCTTTTTCAACCTTCGTGTATACAAAAAGAAACCTAATTTTGGGTCTCTGACATCTTCATCATGTGCAGTGCAGGTGTATGAACATGTGACACTGATTTCCCTTTTGTATTTGGCCAATTAAGGTGAGTTAGAAGACCCCCACACACATCTCTCTGCATTTGTTAACCTCAAGAAAGTGACCATGGAAGATGGATATCAATGCCGCCCACAAACACCAACACCTGAGACAGGTTTAGGTCAGAGACTCCGTCGGAGGACAGAGGTAAATCGCAGCAAGTGGAAGTGAAAACCAAAATATGATAGAAACTTGACTAACAAAAGCAACAAAAACCAGTTCAGATTATTTGCTCGTCACGGATTAACATGACACGGGAAACCAATTTCACATTTTTTTAATTCTTTAAACTGTAATCACCAGCGTCAACACCGTGTAATAGCAATCAAAATGCATGAATAATGTCATTGATTCTTTGTCTCGGTGCATGCAAGACAGAAGATCATGATACATCTACAGAAGAGCCACCATCACATATAAGGTAAATTAATATATCGGTGATGAATCATCGCCATCAATATGATCCACCTTTTCAGATATCCATGCATGTTGTCAATCATCTCATCTTCATGGTTCATCTTATATATATATATATAATAACATGCAAATGATTCACTGCTGTTCATTTAAACTTTTTCTTTTTCTTTTCACTTTTGAACCTAGATACATATTTTTTATTAATTATACTTGAAATATTAATACTTTTTCTTTAAAATTATCTTTCTTTTATTAAAAAAAATATACTTTGCGACTAAGATTCTTACATTTGATGAAATAATATTTTTCCGAAGAGAATCTATCCTTGATGCATATAAGTGTTTTAAAACATTAATTTTTAATTGGTAGAGAGATTTTCTTAGATTAATAAAAATACTTATCTTCTTTTATGGTGATAAACATATTTCATGCTCAACTTTTGAAATTAAATTACAATCAAATTTCACACAGACCCATTCCATCTTAATTATTATAATTTGTTTGATTTATCCAACTGTAAATGAGAAGAAAGAAGGAGAAAAGGACAAACTAAGAAAATAAGAGCACTAATAAATTGTTTGGAAGAAAAAAAAATAATTTTTTGTTGTATATTTAGTAGAAAATGAGAAGAAAAAAATTGTAAATATAATGGTATAAACATTCTTAGCATCTTCTTTATTTATTTACAAATTATTTAAGCAAGTTTAAACAAAATGTTTAGCCCTTTGTTAAATAAGAGATTTACATTTAGAATAAGTTATATTTTCCGTTAAAGCAAAGATTTTTCTTGAATTTTCTTCCTCCAAAAATCTTACATGCAAGCTTAAAAAAAATGAAGAAAATAGTTAATGCAAAGAGAAATAATCTAAAAATTGAAGATAGAAAATCTTGTTAGCTATTATAATAATCTGGTTTCTACAAACTCGATGTTTGCACCTTTTATTTTTGGAAATGAAAATAATAAATAAATTTTGGAAGAAGAACTGTGAAGAGGTGGAATGAAGAGAAAGAGAAAAACAAAGGAACTGTGGTATTGAAGCCAATCCAAAAACTTTCAGCCATAATTCTATTCTCACCCTCCCTTTTATTCCTTTTTCTATCATATAAACATAATAATAAAGTAAAGAAAACAACATAAATTTCGACTCAAGACAAATCTCTTAAATAAATAAATTTACACATATACTAGTAAATTCCCCTAAAAGTTAGTTAAAAAAATCTGAATGATTACAATGAAAGTTAAAAACTGAGGAGAAAAGAATATAAAAGTTTGTGAACAGCAAATGGCAATTTTGTTCAAAAATTTGAAGTTATAAAATTTATATAAAACAAATGTCTCATTTTACCTGACATTTTACATTATAGTGTTATTAAAAATTGTATATACAATAGTTTTATAATGTTTAAGTGTATTGATTACCTGCTCATTTTTGTGCTTGTTTTTTTTACATTATTTATATGACTAAAGAATGATTTTAATTCTCTATTTTTCAGTAAAAAAATTGGTGTAAGAATAAGAAATATACAATTTTAACTAAAACTATGTTTGAAAAGGAACCTGTTATTGTTTTTCTTCAAAATTCCCTTACTCTATTATTTTTTTTTTCTAGGTTTGGAGGACCCAAAAATGTCTAAACAACTTTAACTTGAAAGAAGAAAAGAAAAACTCCTTAATTCCCTTACTAAATACAGTTTTCCATAGTATTAAAGGAATTCTTTTTTCAAAATTGGAATATTTTTTTTTGAATTATTCCATAAATACTTTAAAAAATAAGAAAAGAAATGAAACCTTTCTGCAAACTAAAATTAATTTATGTATAAATAAAAGTTAAATAAAATAATTTATAAAAATTCTTTTATACCCAAACTAATTTCATTTTAAAGATAATGCATTAATTTAAAAGAAAAACTTAATTTAGACTGTATATGTCATACTAAAAGAATAATTAATTTATAATTTTATCTAGTTAAAAGTGTAACTCCTCCACTATTTTATAAATAATTGTTTTTAATTAACAAATATTTTTTTATGATAAGATTTTGTTGAAGAAAACATTGGTCATAATATATATATATATATATATATATATATATATATATATATATATAATATTCAGAGTTATATGATTATTTATATATTTAATATTTCTCAATATAAATTCTGCATAATAAGTTGGTGTTATGAAAAAATCTCTTTGAAAAATTCTCAATTAAATTTTATTGAAGAAGTTTCTACACTTATTCAGAGGTACATATGAAAAAAGAAAAAATACAAAAATTTTGAAGTTGTAAACCTTAAATATTAACTTTAATAAACTCAACATATAATACAAATAATGGCATAAAATTTGATTTGCAACTATAAAACTAATTTTAATTTATCACACATATGCATCCATATTTCACATTTCATTATCCATTATAAACATAAAAAAATTGCTTTTGAAAGTTA